TCTCATCCAGGGAAATATAATATTCTGCTTTTTTAATATTTCATTCTTCTAGGAAGGGGGTGGGTGCTTACCTCCTACAACTGTTTAAATTTGTGAACTGGCCAAATACTCTGTTCAAAGAAAATACGTTGTGTGTTTGTATGTGTGTTTCTAATTATTACTATTTATTCATATTTGTTCTCTTTTATTCTTTAAAGTTTAACAATTCATTCTTTATCTTAATATCTTTATATTTGTTTGGGGTTGGCTTTCTTCCCTTTCATCTTTTTTATTGTACAGCAATCTTTCTCCTCAAACCTACCACCTCTGTCTTTTCTTTCCTTCTTACTTTCTCTTTCCCCCCCCTCTTCTTCTTCTCCCTACTTCCTCTTCCTTTCTCCTTCTCCTCCTCTCTTCCTCCCTCTCTTACCCTCACTCCTACTCTTATTTCCCTTCCCTTCCTTCATTCCTCTCTATTGCTGTATCCTTTTATGCATATGGACTACTCAGAAGCCTGAAAAAGTTATTTTTGACTGGTCCTCGCACTTTTGACCAGTCCTCGAATTTACGACTGTCCTCACATTTTACGTTTTTGCCCTATCTTGTCACCATGGTGAAGAGAAGCAGTTGCGAAATGAGTGACACGGTTGTTAAGAATGCTACAATGGGCATGATGACCAGTCATAACTGCGAAGACCGGTCAAAAGTGCGAGGACCTGTCAGAAATCACTTTTTTCAGCCCTCTGGGTAGTCCTTTTGTGCACAGGGACTACTCAGAGGGCTGAAAAAGTTATTTTTGACTGGTCCTCGCACTTTTGACCAGTCCTCGAATTTACGACTGTCCTCACATTTTACGTTTTTTGCCCTATCTTATCACCATGTTGAAGAGAAGCAGTTGTGAAATGAGTGACATGTTTGTTAAGAACGCTGCACAGGCATAAATATGAGGATGGTCATAATTGATTTTTAATTGGTCATTTTAATTGGTTTTTTTATTATTAACGTTTGTATTACATGTATTTTTATCGTTCGCTGTTCACCGCCCTGAGTCCCTTAGGAATAGGGCGGTATATAAATTTAATAAATAAATAAATAAATAAATAAATAAATAAATAAGTGTGAGGACCAGTCAAAAGTCCAAGGACCTGTCAGAAATGACTTTTTTCAGCCCTCTGAGTAGTCCCTATACACATAGCCATGCCCACCCAGTCACATGACCTCCAAGCCACGCCCACAAAATAAGCCACGCCCACAGAACCGGTAGTAAAAAAATTTAGAACCCACCCCTGGTTGGGGGTCACCACAACATGAGGAACTGTATTAAAGGGTTGCAGCATTAGGAAGGTTGAGAACCACTAGTCTATAGTATACTTTGGCAGTTCAAGCCCTACCCCCGTGTATGGAGTGAGTTCCAGATACTTGCCTCAGCTCCTGCCAACCTAGCAGTTCGAAAGCATTTAAATGAAAGTAGATAAATAGATAAATAAAAATCAGTGGGAAGGTAACAATGCTCCATGTTTCATCATATGCTCCACACTGGCATGATGTCATGCTGGCCACATGACCATGGAAATGTCTTTGGATAGCACTGGCTCAATGGTTTAAAAACAGAGATGAGCACCACCCTCTAAAGTTGGCTATGACTAGCAGAGTAAAACCCACAGGGACTCCTTTACCTTTTACTCTTATGACCAAACCTGATACTGATTTTGACAAAGAGAGAATGAATGATCTAAGGTCATGCAACTGGTTTCTGTATTTAAGGGAGGACTAGAATCTGGGACACCCTCCTTCTAGTGCAGCACCATTATACTATGCTGGTTGTTTCTGCTTGCCAATGTAGTTTAATAAAGTACTATGAAAGCTGAATATGATCCAAGGTGTTATAGCAACAGGATCTTTTGCAGAAGAGTGCATAACTAGATCTTGTGGCTTTCTAGGGAGACTTTATTATCCATATGGATTTGACTACTTTCTTGCAAACAATGGAAGCTACCGCAAAGTGTTGTTCCATTTAGCTGATAATTGTTCTACTATGAGTGGCAACAGGTAGTTTGGAGCCTTTCCAGCTCTGTGCAGTGTTTTTTATTTGCCATTTCTAAAACTAGCACAAACTGAAACTGTGAGGCTGGGGAACAGATGTGCTACTTGATTCTTTCTGATACTTGAAGCTGGGAATTCAGTTAGGGATGCCCTTAGGCATGCAGCCACCTCAGTGGGTACATAAATCCCAAAAGGAGTGCAAGAAATCACATGTGTTAAGCATTTTCTTCAAATAGCTATACTGCTGGTTCAGGAATTTCTCCCAGAAGCATCAATATATCTACAGTGCTTTGCTGTATGAAATTTCTTTATGGTTCTACTGGTCATTGGGGTAAGAGCAATTTCCTCTTTCTTGAGACTCCCAAATTCAAAGAAATGTGTAGCCACAGTAGCCATCAGGCCCTGAATTGGTGTAATGAGAACAATGATGTTGTTATTCTGTTTTAATTATTTGCAATTTAAGAAGCCCATTCTTGCCTAAGCTATGCTCACTGCCTTTTAAAGAGACTTTGTGGTTGCTTATTTTGTCTCTTAATTGCTTTAGGAAGCTACTTATTACTGATTTCTTTGGATTGAAGAACCTTCTAAAAGACAATTTGTATTACACTGGAGATTTTCTTTCCATCCTAGATGAAAGAAGTCTGAATAAGTTTAAAGATGAATAAGTGAAGCTTTAATTTTTGGAAGACAGCAAAAATGGGACTAGAATGTTGATTTTGAGAAGTTAAGCTAGATAATAATAAATTAAAAAAACTTTATTGTCATTGTATGTGTATATACAGTATACACATACAACGAAATTTACTTAACACCCAAAGACCAGGTCCCACACACATAATCCCCAAACACACTCCCACCCACCACAATTCCCCATCCCTAAACCACCCAAACATCCGCACAACAGACCAAGTAATACTGTCCAACAGCTCACTGATGGTGGCCCCTTAGTTCACTGTTGAGTGCAATTATAGCTCTGGGATAAAAACTATTCAGAAAACGTGTGGTCTGAGTTTTAATTGTTCTGTATCTTCTGCCAGAAGGCAACAGTCCAAAAAGATTGTAAGCAGGATGGGAAGAGTCTCTGAGAATGTTATGCAACTTCCTCAAACAGCGAGATTTGAAGATGTTGTCCAGGGCTGGTAGCTGGAGTCCAATAATACTCTGGGCAGTTTTAATGATTCTCTGTAGAGCTTTTTTGTCTGCTACAGAGCTGCTCCCATACCATGCAAGAATGCCGTATGTCAGGATACTCTCAATGGTGCTGCGATAGTAGGACAGAAGTAGATGCTGAGATAGATTTATCTTCCTGAGCATTCTCAGGAAGTACAGCCTCTTCTGTGCCTGTTTCACAAGCATGTTAGCATTCATAGTCCATGAGAGGTCCTCCAAGATATAAGTGCCCAGAAATTTAAAACTACCCACCCTCTCCACCTCCTCAACATTTATGTACAGTGGTAGATGTACATCTCTCTTCCTCCTGAAGTCAATTATAAATTATTTAGTTTTTGTGGTGTTAAATATGAGATTATTTTCATTACACCACAATGTCAGCCCTTGTACTTCCTTCCTGTAAGCAGACTCATTGTTCTTATTAATGAGCCCCACCACTGTTGTGTCATCTGCAAATTTAATAATTGCGTTGGTGTTATACAGTGGGGTGCAGTCATGCATGTACAAGGAATAAAGGAAAGGGCTTAGCACACAACCCCCAGGGGGATTTCTTGTGGACTGTTTAAAAACTTATATATGAAGTTTTTGAAATTAATGATTTCAAAACAAAAGTTTTGTTGACTAGAATATAAACAGAGGATAAGAGTGGATTTGAAGGCTGGCCACATGGAACTAGAAAGAACCCAAAAAAAAATCCCTCTTCCTCAAGGACCATAGACCCATCAATACAATGAGTAATACTATTCCTTGACTATAGAAGAAATTATGACTGTTTGAAGACAATTTACTCGGAAGTTACTTAAAAGATTTTGTGGCAATATAACAGAGGATATAGAAGAACAACAAGTTGGATAAAAAGAGAAACTGATTTGATTGTGGATTTGGAGTTTAAAAAATGCTGGATTATGTAAATAATATGAAAAAAGATATAGAACTGGAAAACAATATCAACATGGATTTAAGGAGACATACAAATGATAAATCAGAAGAGTGACTTGGAATGCCCTCTTACTTTGGATTCCCAAAAGGAATTTGTGGAAGCAAGGAAACTCTGAGAAGAGATAAAGAAGAACTGCTCAAGCTGTTCCAGAAAGGAGACAACGCTGATAGGAAATCATCTTGTGGGACACTACGTGATGGGACAAAAGATAAAGTTTTTTTTAAATATGGAAAGATTTATAAAGAGAACTTGTTTGATAAGGTTTACATGTACACGTGCATAAATACATACACATACTGGTTTCTGGTAACTGTTACTGAGATTTCTTTTTGGGATTGTATGACAGGGCTTTAAAGATTTGTTTTTAAGCGTGGAGAGAAAACAAAGAAAAAATGATAACTTTGGACTATAAAATTGAAATTTTTGATTAAGATTAAAATTTATGATAGAATTTAAGAACTTTTGCTGAATACGATTAATTTATCTGGGGTTTTTTTGTAATTTGACCATTGATAAGAGTTGAAATACGGGAAGAAGACTTTTTTTTAAAAAAAATGAAATACTACCATATTTAGAAGGTGTTAAGTTAGCCAAATTGTTTATATTTGTCTGGAGAAATGGAGGAGTCATGTTTATTTATCGTCTGTCTTTTTTTCTTTTTCTTTGTTTTCTTCTTTTTCTTTGTATTAGTTTTTTTAATCTTTGTATTTGTAAACTTTAATAAAATTATTTTTAGAAAATGAAATTTAAAAAGCAAATGTAGCCTGTTCTCCGAGTTAAGAGACATAGTAAACATTTCTAAATATCAAGAGTATCTTTTTTTCCCTTCAGTTGTGAATTATTGCAAGAATAGGAACAAAGGTTGTTGTTGCAATAATTTTATTTGTTGGTTAAAGGGACATTGCATCTGCACCCACAGACTTCTAACATAAGGATGAATAATTAAAGAGATATACAGTAAGCTGATTTTTAAAAGTCCATGTAATTTTTTTTTTTTTAATTTGATTTATATGCCGCCCTTCTCCGGAGACTCAGGGCGGCTTACAATGCGTTAAGCAATAAGCATAAAGGCCAATGCTAGATTAATAAATTAGCAGTTTGATCAGCCCTCTTATATCTGCAGACAAAAAATATTCAGGTTTGAATCCAGTCCAAATAGTAAAGCACTCCTTTTGGATCATAAATGTATATAAGCCCACTGCCACATAACAAACAAACAGATAAATGCCGCCCCAAAAAAAGCCAAAATTCTTCAGGCTGCAAAATGGAGAGCTGCTTTATGCAAAGCAATAGAAAACTATCACTACGATCAAGTTGATGTCTTAAAGGGAAAAGGTATTATCTGCAATGGTCCCATTTCTTTGGAACACTGTCTCGGTTGATGGCTAACCATTTTTTTAAAGTTAAGGAAAGGACTATACTTGACCTTTAAGCAGTGTAGTCACAGCTACATCCCATAAAATAAGCAGATCCACACATCATTCAACTATAGCTATAATCAAATGTGATTAAACTGTTTAATATGATTATTCCACTTCTGCTTTGTCAGTTTCGCCTTCTGAAATATTCTAAAGTAATTTACCTCATCTGCAATTCATGACTATTTTCAAAGGGTTCTTAAGGCTTTATGCTATTGCTATCAATGACAATTGCTTTGGTTTTAGTAGTGTTATCATCATACTTGTTTCATTAATCACTATTTTATTCAGCTCATATCCATTATTGAAGAATTTTTATCTTTGGGAGTGTTTTCCACCCAAGGCAACGTAAAATATTTTATATTTTAAAATATTTTAAACAAAATATATTTGAATTTCAAATAACCAAATTGACATACAAAAATGGGTTCAAATTATCAAATTGACAGTCTTCCAGATGTTATGTTTGTTTAGGATGATACTACCTTCACCTTTTTTCTTTGATAGTGTGTTTACATTCAGCATGTTATACAAAGACTTGTTTCTGTATGATCAAATAGTTCCATAAATCTCAATAATTCCAAATTACTCCCTGTTATTCTAAATTATGCCTTGAAAGTATTAATTATTGGGACTTTCTTCCCATAAACATGGCTTGCCCAGGTTTTCTTTCATCCCATGTATTACAGTTGCTGTGACAGAAGTAAGACTTCCATTCTTAGAGATTATTTGTGAAGAATCAGAATGCAAGTTTCCATTGGTCAGGGAAAAACTGAATCCTATATGAATATCAGAAAGACATCTAGAAAACTTCCATATAAAAAGATCCAGCTAATATATCAAGGAATACACAATGACCCCAGAGTTTTGCAAGCAAAAAGAAATGATGGCATGATTTCCATAGCTAATTTAGAATTACCATTTTGCTCCAGAGATGAATGGAGTTAGTGATTAATTTGTCACATTCAATTGCAAATTAAGATTTGAATTTTTAAAAGCTGTTTGTAATCAGAGCTTGTTTCTGTTTAGAGCTAATCACACATAACACTCACAACGATCATCAATTATATCTCTTGATTATGGGATACAGTGAAAAGGAAGTTCCAAACAATACATTATGTATCTGCTATTTAGTGAAGATTATGTCTGATTAAATGTTCTAGTAAAGTATCATATCTATTGACACATTTTATTATATCCTTTAATCTATCAGCCAGCAGAATATGGGATAGGATTACAAGTACCGTATATACTTGGAAGCCTATGACAAAGTCTGCAGTTGTTTGCAATGTAAACCCCTTATGGACTCTTCTCAGGCATCCTCCAAGGCATGAAGAATAAGCCCAAATATCTATATGATTGAGTAAAATCTGTAAAATACTATTAAAAATTATATGTATACAGAAAAGTGTGACCTTTACTTTATAATCACTATAATACCCTATACAGCCACAGATTTATTTTCCTTTATACTGCTGAATAAACTAGTAATCAGTTAAGGTAATGACAAAATTCAGGAAGATGGTGAGAGGGCAATAAGAAATAATTACATCATTTTCTATTCCCATGTTTTAGTGGCTTCCTATAGGTATAGAAAACAAGTCTATGTTCATTGGGGAAAAATACAAATATATACTCTATTGCTTTTTGGCAAAGAAATCCAGCAACTTAAAGAAAATAAAATCTATACCAGGGAAGACATTTAACTGTTATATTTATAGATAATATTATATTATATATGGTCCTAGGTATGAGTTGATGGGAAGGTCAATTACATGTAAATTATCACTTGAAGTTACAGTCATCAAGTGCTGGGTAACTGCCTAAACTAGCTATTATGGTGTGAATTGCTGACTATACTGTATGTAGGAGTTGCTACTTTACTTATTTCGAGGTAAAGTTATATTTCTTTCCCTTTTCTTAATTTTAGAACTGCTCCAGATTTAACTCTGTGCCTGAAGTTCCAACAGCATCCATTGCAACAAGTGTCCTTTAGTTCCAAATAGCTCTAGAGGTCATACATGCTTTATCAGTGGGATCCTTGGTGTTCTCCAAGCTTTGTTGTTTTCTTGCTGATATTTCATTACCAAACTAGGTAACATCATCAGTGATGTTTGGTAATGAAAAGTTTGGTAGAAACATCTGTAAGAAAACAACCAAGCTCAGAGAGCATCAAGGATCCCACAGTTCAACCCTGAGCTACAATTATTCTCTTCTATTGGTGCTTTAACAGTTTCATTATTGGATCTGCTACACTGTGCTCTAATTAAATTGCCTTCAAAGGGTACACAGAAAATGCAGTCTGGTTCAGAATGTGCCAATTTACTTAGTAACAGTCAGAAAGGGTAGCACTATTACCAACTAACTAATTTTATTAAAAGATATAACCTTTTATGAGCTGCAGTTCACTTCATCATCTGAGTGCCTAGACTATTTTAGTATTTAATTTGATGGGACAGAAAAGGAGGAAAAGGTCAGTTATGCAGATTTGGGTTGCATATTACTAATACCTTAACAATTAACAATTGTAATATGTTTTAAACCCAAAGTGTTGGTGGATAAGCCAATCTTCTGAAATTGCCTGAAACTATACAATGTAGGTGAGTTCAACAATTTCTCATTCCGTGGTGGAAATAGGGTCTATTAATTTGGATTGCTATTAAATAACCTGGGAGGTTGAAAGTGTTTTAATAATACTTTCTCTTTGCTTTGAGTTGGGACTTCAAACTCAAGTTTGTCCATTAATTCTTGTGTGCAAAGTCTGGCCCATTTGTCTTAGAGGGACATTTTGGCAAATATTGCATTGGAGGAAGACTAAATGAAGGCACCTGTAAACCTGTGTGATTACTTTTTGGGGCTATGATGGTATTGTTGGGGGAAAATAGACATCTATATTTGGCATTTCTTGCTTCTTGTGAGAATCTACTTCAGGTTAGGTGATTACACTGACTCTGTAAACCGCTTAGGGAGGGCTGTAAAGCACTATAAAGCGGTATATAAGTCTAAGTGCTATTGCTATTATGTTTGCAAGTATGGATCTGCCATTCAGGGTCCAAGAAAGTATACTGCCTAGGGATGTGTGTGTCTGTATCTGTTTTTGTCTGTGTGAATAGCTGGTGACTGCCTAAAGTTTTCTTTTGGAAATGGTTTGGTATATTGCCTGCTTCCTAGATTGAGAGAGAGTAACTTGCTGGTTTCATGCTTAAGGCAGGGCTAGAACTTCAGTCTCCCAGTTTCTAGCCTGATGCCTCAACCAGTAGAACAAGCTGATTCTCACAATGGGTTATAGATTATTAATAATGTGTTTGAGTGACTTAAACTGTGAGTTGTAGGTGACAATCAGTGGTGTTCTGTTATGCTATTTCTATATTCTATTTTTAACAGGTCCTCTCTGGGAATGGAACTGGCTCTATTGATTTGTCTATTGGTCTCATAGGGTGAGTAGTTCAGTTTCCTGATGCTTAGTTTAATTTCATCAGTTAATTATCTCTCTCAAGTGGGTCCAAAAAAAATGTGGATAAAGCATTGAGTTTTGGTATAGATGATAGATGTGATATGTTATAGATGGAAGCTGAAAGCATGTGGCTATGCAAGGCAATCTGTAATTTTTCTGTCTAACATAATGTTTATATGTTCATTGTTAAGTTTTACTGAGACATCAAAGAAGCTGATTTGTTCTGTATGTAGCTCCAAACTGAGGCTGACAGGAGAGAAGAAGTTGTGAGGAATGATGAAATTTGATAAGAGATTCATTTCCATGAGTCCAGATAATTAAAATGGATTAGTGCAAAGATACCTAGCCTTACGGAAGGATGTGATATTTTAGCATCAGTGATGATACTCTCTTTGGTTTAAAGTCCATGATTGGGCAAAATGTTGATCTATATCATCTCAACATCTATGGTGGCTAAAATTATATTTTTTGTAAAATGTGTTAGAAAATGTGTTACCAGACCCTACAAGAAGCAAAACATGGCTGTGCTCCTAAAATGCCTTCTTAGCAGCAAGAAGTACAAGACAGCTGCACAGAAAGATGTGCTTCAGACCAAATTATGTTTTAGGACAAATCTATAGTTTCAGGTAGAAACACACCTCTCTACACAGAGTTGCCTATTTTCTAAGAGCATCCTTTTGGAGTTTTTCAAAAAATATTTGGCTTTAATTACTACTATCTTCAGGAAATTAGTGATTTTATTTTGAAAAGCATGCGGATTTTCTTTAAAAATATATAATACTTACTAAAGTTTAACTTCCAGTGTATGATTGACTGATGACATTTTGCCTTTATTAGTTCTTTTGTGATATGACAGCAACTGTATTTGTAACTCTGTAAATATGGAAAGGAAGCTTTTTGAAATTTATGCAAGCTGATAATAAAGACTGTGTAATCCTCTTCCTTAAGTATTTGTAGGTTAGTGTTGGTGTATTTCAAGTTACATATAAGTAGAAGAGAACACAGAGCAAATGTGGTAGCCATGCATTAGAGAAGAAATAGACAATGCTAAACTGGCCATTGTAGCTTATAATGGTGTTACAGCATCTAGTTATTCTTCAAAACCACATCACTAAGAAATCAGATACCCAAATATCTATTCATTTTGCTTAAAGCATCACACACTGTGTTCAGGTCACTTCGGAGATCCTGGACAACATTTTCAATGCTTCTGGTGTCTTTCAGAATTTCAATGCTTTGGGTGTAGGGGTTGAAATAAACAGAAAAGGGACGATTGATTGATTTTGCAAAGTCCCTGAAATAAAAATAAAAAAAGAATTACATTAATTCTTATTTCTACACGTACAGATAAGAGCAAATTCAATCTGGGGTTTGTTTTTAAGGGTCATGGAAACAACTTGCCTCATCTTTTCTTTGGCTTCTTCAAAACTTTCCGAGACAAAGTAAGCTTCCTGGAAAGTTGTGATAAGGCATTCTTGCAAGCAGGTTGTCTTTGGATCAAATGTTTTCACATTGGCTTTATCAGACAGAGCATGCTGCAAAATACACCACATCAAATATTAAGTTACATGACAGAAACCTCAAGTGTTTCTATGCACCCAAGCTTTATAGCAAAGAATGCTCTCCACTTCACATGATTCACCTATAATTGTTTTTTTTTCGGAATGAATGTGATGTGCATCTTAAATTTATCAATCTATTTATTATCTTTTAAGATTCCCTTCCCCTCAAGTAATTACACCATCAAGAATATAGTGCTAATTGCATCAAGAATATAATAATTTTGTTTTATATATGAAAAATAACTTAAATCATCACACCTGAAACAAAGATCATTTTATTAATAAATACTTCAAGTATTCCCATACTATGGTGAATATTAGGAATTCTTCAAAAGCAGAAACAATATATGGATATTTACCCATATTACACATTCATAAAAATTATATTTCACCTCCAGTATCACATAACACCAGTTTGTTTCAGACCTGAAAAGATCTAAATAAATAATGAATATTTTCATTGCTCTTTTTATATATAAAGTAGATTGACAGGATATTAACAATTCATCAAGAGTATTCACTGTATATCCATTTGTTCAAAACCAAACTGAGTGACATTTAGAAGTCATGGAATGTTATGAATATACAATTTTTTAGAATAATGTAAAGAACTGGGAATGAATGGGAGGCTTTGGACATCTGTGGAATATCATACTCTGCTCTAAACAGCCCAGTTTCCAATTTATGGTACAGGAATTGTTCTATCTCGGTTCATGAAGAAAGTACTAATCAAATATTTCTTTTTTAAAAAGAAATTTATTAAAAATTTAATTATAAAGATTGTATGTTATAGTGAATACAGTGTCTTGTACTGTATAGTGAATACAGTAGCTTGCACAGCTATATATGTGTGTGTGTGTGTGTGTGTGTGTGTGTTATTCTCACCATATGCACATATCTGGTACTTTTATATATGACAACATGGATGTTCATAAGAATAAAAATTGGGGCATTTCCCTTTCTATATGTTTCATAATTTTTAGATTCCATCTTTAATTTCTTAAAAAACAACTAGTCGCTAACCATTTTAGAACTTATTTATGATGAAATATATAATAATTTGTCTACCTATTTTCTTTTTTTTAAAAAAGAGTCCTTTTTAATGTTTTTCCCCCCAGGAAGTAGACAAGGCAAATCATTTCTGTAAAATCTTATCAAAAAAATTGCAGGGACTTGTCCAGGCAGTCTCCAAGAATTGAACATGATTGAACTATACTTGTTATTTGTGCTTTATTATTCCCAGTGTCTCCTTATTCTTCCTTGTTTCTAGGTTATTTTTTTATTTGTCAGATATTCTTTGGCTCTTCAACTTGTTTTCTTTCATCTGTTTTCTTTTGCTTGTTTTTGGTTTTAGCATGCTAATCTTATTTTCCAGCCTGATCTTCCATTTTGTGGTGCACTGTTTGGCTTTTATTTTTCATCCAAGGTATTCAGTTATAACTGCAGCCATTCTGTACACTAGTAAGTTTGTTTCTTGCAGTGAGTTGGTGCTTACACTTGATATAGCCGTATTTGTAGCTTTTAACGCTTGTGCTAGCTGTTTCTTTGGCACAAGCTTCAATACAGACAGCTTATTCTGTTGTTTTTTGTGCTGCTCTAGATGCTCATTTATTCTTTACCTCAATTCTTTTTAAATAAAGAATTTGTTCTTTCTGAAGGGAGGGCAGGGGAGGGAGTACCTGGTTTAGGAATGAAAATGATTGTTGATCTTCTAATCTCTTTTCTGTTATTTCTGATTCTAGACGTTGTTCTTTCCAGAACTGATGCATTCATTTCAAATAATCTCTTCTTGTTTGACTTGATTTGTAATAACAGACCATTATTTGTTTTCAAACTTTGTATATATCTGTGATGGGTAAACACCAGAGGCGAGTTCCAAATCCCGTCGCTACTGGTTCGCTCATGCGTGCAATCCGGTGCGAACCAGTAGCAACCTATCACCGGTAAACACCCTTTCTCAAAATAGTCTTGCACCTGCTGGACTTGGTTGCTAGCCAACAATAATTTTTCCTACAACCATCTTGTCTTTAGATGTCCAGGAACTCCAACACCTAGGGTAGTTCTTGTTGACCCGGATGATAACTGATCATGTATGGGTTTCTGTAAATTACACCTCACCATATTGTTTATGGGAAAGATACTCATTTTCTGTGTCCTGTGATAAGACCTGTCATGTATAGCTGAACCTCTGGCACAGCTCTCATATTCCTGAGAGCACATAAGCCCCACAACCACATCACTGTGCTTCACTGGAAGATTATTATTATATTTAAATAAAGAATTTAATATCTACATAGCTGCACAAGAAGGTTATCCTTTTGTCTGCAAAACATCACACCTGCTGAACAGAAGAAAAGACTGAAGTTCTGACCCAATGTCTGGAAGCTGTTACATGCAGATGGAAAGAAGTAAGCTGCTCCAATAAACTCCGTGTAGGTAGTCTTTCTCTGAAGAATCAGTCTGTGAGGATCCTCTGTTAGTTGGAGAAATTATGGCTAGACAGACAGAAGGAATCCATGTATTGAGGTAGTTCCATTCCTTCTTGAAGCAGATGCTTTGAGGAAGGCTTCTTGTCATCACGTATTAAAAGTCAACTACAGCAATACACCTTTCCTGGAGCAGCCTTTGAAGATTCTTCTAAAGCTGCAGATGATGCAGAACACAGCAGCCCATTATTGTCAAATGAGAGCCACCAGTGCCATATGCCAATGGTTTGACTCTATACTGGCTTCCAAGAGGCTTCTGTAGGCAATTTGAAGTGTGGATTTTAACCTCTAAAATCCTTTATGGCTTAATACCTGGAATTCTTCTGGACTGTATGTTTCATGTAGAACCAACTCATCTAGTGTTTTTTAGAACAAAAGAGTACATTGAGAGTTACCTCCTAGTGAGATGGTTCAGAGCACATTGCATGTATTTCATGCTATTCCCTTATTTAATGGATTCCTTTTTCTTAAGAGATGGCACCCTCACAGCTTTTCAAACAGCAGTCAAGGTAGGGCTTTTCTTTAAACTTTTTGATTATTGATGAATAAAGAAGTCATTCTTGATGCCAAATTTTGTTTTTAGCTTGTTTTGATGGATTATATATTGCTGTAAAGCACCAGAAGTCTGCATGAAGCCAGTAGTTAGGAAATATCAAAAATCAAGTTTTTTTCTCTTTCCTTTCAACAATCTTTGATCTGTCTTTTGACTGTGGAAAAGCCCTCTAGGTAAATAGGACAAAGCATCTATGTGTTTTTCTTCTTCCAGTCTAAGATTACTATTAGACGGTGTTTTGTTTGTAGAAAGCCCAAGATTCAATTCCTGGCCACTTCATACTGAGCCGAGAAAGATTTCAGTTAGATATTCTAGAGAGCTGGTATAGGTGTAAATACTGAGTTGAGTGGATCAAGATTAAAGGTAAAATTATGCAAAAGTAAAATTGCCATTTCTAGTGGCATACATTTTATAAATTGAAATTGAAATTTGGAGGGGTACATATTGTGGACCAGTGATAGGTGTACCACGATGCTACAAATTACAGAACTCTCACTTGGATAGAACAGGAAAACATCTAAATTAATGATTAACTAATAATTTAAAAATATATTTAAAAAGATGTTAGAGACATGGGGCAAAATGTGTTTTATTAAGAGGCATTCCTGCCCAGCAATATGAAGCAATATGCAATAAATTTAACACTGTCTGCAACTCTTTTCAAAAGCTGCATCTCTTTCTAGAATCACATGTCAGCCTTGCAGAACTCAGGCACATGATCCTGAGAAAAGACATGACTTTAAAACAGTTGCAGATGTGTGTTGTCTGCATGCTCCTACATGCTACAAGGATTTTTCAGGAATTGAATCTGAAATCCTTCCCACCCTTGAAAACAAGGTTCTTTCTAGACAAAATTGTCTAAACATGAAGCTCGGGTAATACTCAGAATTCATATGCATACCAATAAAAATTGTAGATTTCTTCTAAGTATTGCATCATTGCAACACAAGAATTGTCTTGAAAATTAAATGTATTTTGACTTCTTTTTCATTGCCCCACACATAAATATGCATGCAGGCATCTACAATTAATCCAGCATTAAGATACCTCATAAAAAGAATGATAAAATAGATTCAATTAATTAGCCTAAGTGCTTAAACAGGAGCAATAATTCCAGGCAACACTCAGCCACTCTAAAGCTTGTATCACATATTTCTAGCAAAACTTAATGTTGTTTTCTATCCTGGCATTTTACAAGAACAAAATGCTTGTAAAATATGGAACTTAGCAACAAAAAGTCTTGGTTATAATTTTTTTAAGACAACAAAAGAAAAAGAGATAACCAAATGCCAAAAATATTTATGTAACTAAACATTTGTTTGAAATCAAATTTAGATAAGGCAGCATATCCCAAAGCTATAAGCATCAGTCACTCACAGCAGGTGCCTGTTTGTTAGTTTTCAAGCAAATTACATCTCCAGAAAAGCAATTTCACCCTCATTTATAGGACAAGTTTTCATATATCTGTGTACTGCCTGAGCATGTATCCTACAACAGAAATTCCCAAATGGAGATACATTCCTAAATAACAGAAATAGGCAATTTCAAAGCAAAATTCTGTCAGAATTTTTTGAGGATTGCTTTTCCAACATTGAACCTAACTGGATCCAGGATCCCTATAATGAGCTTGATCTTCCTGTTATTCCTCATACAACAGGAGTTGCCTCTTCAAAAAACAATGTAATAATTAAAAAATCAAAGAGAAGCTATGCTATGTTTTATCTACCAATGGAAAGATCTCAGATAAAATAGGAATTATTCTGAATTACACTTGAGAATTTACAGTTGCTCTAGGAGTTCAAGAAAGTCATGCAAAATCAAGAGTAGGCGATGTCAACTAAGCTCAGAGAGCACCAACAGAGTCCCCAAGAATTCAACCCTGAGCTACACATGTCTTCTTCAGTTGATATGTTAAATCAGTTCAGGACACTTTACACAGAAAAGAAACTCACTTCTGTATTCACATATGCCATTCTTTGAGTTGTGGGTTGTGATCTTGATATCTAATGAAATGCATTTTAGGGACTGCTTTTAAAAACTGTACTCCCACATCAGTTTTTTAAGAACCCTTTTTCCTTGGCTGTGGGGTCCCACTTATTAAATTTACTCTTCAACTCAGAGAGTCTATAATCCAGCCTCTTTTGTCTTTAAGGTACTTTAAATATCTCTACATGAGCCAGTCCCTTTCATGGTAAGTCTTATACATAGAAAATAATTTTTAATTTGTAAACCTCATCAGACAATTTAAACACCCTTGTATAAAAAACAGCCTATAGAAAGAGCAGTAACTTTAAGTAATAGCCCAATTAGCAGCATAAGCAAGGATAATAAAAAAAAACCACAGAACTCAACATTATTAAAGATGAAAAAAATAAAAAAAATAGCATCAGTTCAAATTACAACATCAAATCCTAGCTAACATGGGAAAAATAAATTTAACAAATATCTGATGGTTTATATTGCCAGGTTCATGTTTACCTCTTTTAAATTAGATTTCTAAAAATGTGTGAGTAACACTGAAAATGCAGTAAACTATGTTTTTTCAGTGAATGGGATGTAAGGAATACCTCCAACTCATAGTTTTTAAGACTACACAAACCATAATGAGTCCAAACAATTTAGTTTTGAAGGTAAAAACCAACATGTCCTTAAGTGGTATGCATCCTTAATTGGATATTCAACCAGCAAATGTCTCTCACCTTCTTAAACACTTTATGATTTAAAAGAAATATTTCAAATGGCAATGTAAATCAAAGATTCTTAGTGAATGTCTTCATTTTTAAATTTAGAAGAGGAGAAAACTTCTATTTTAATTTAAAAACAAAAAACTTAACAGGATTGAAAATGAAGAAAGTTTTAAATAGAGAAAGGGGACAGTGATTTCTTTCTTAAAAAAATATTTTTTCTGATTAAAGTGCCTTTGAAAATAGCAAAATTAATTAGACCTGTTGACCATATCTCTGTGGGAATGCTGGTTGTTTCTTATTAAATCAAGAACATAAGGATAATATGAGCTAAGCAGTTAGACTGTAACTATGGAGAGCTAATTGGAACTAAAGTGTTAAAGATAGTAAGAAGCAAAATAGGGGGAAAACAGAAGCCAGCCTTTTACTTTCACTGTAGTCATTGGCATATTTTCACTTCCTCACAACAGCAATCACAAGAAAATCTGCTGAACTGGCAGACAGAGGCAGGAGTTCACTAGAACAGCTTACAGATAAGGGCATTTCACCAGATTTATTGCAGAAAAAGTTTGAAGAATTTGGCAAAAAGATGACTTCAACAGTTAAAAAGGAAATAGAAGAAGGATTTGCAGGAATAAAAAAAAAGATGTCAAGAAGAAGTTCGGAAGAATCTATGGTGCAACTGGGTGCAGACTTAAAACAAATTAATGATAAAGTAGACGTTTCAATCCTACAGGGAGATTTAATTAATTAAATTTATATACCGCCCCTCTCCGAAGACTCAGGAGATGAAATTTAATGTTAACAAGAAACTAATGGCCAATATTTTTATTGAGTAATAAGTATAATATAGTTATTATAATATAATTATTATAGTTATTGTAAAACCTTTACCATGATATGGCTGAAAAGTTGAAGATAATATTACAGAATTTTATTCATGGAGATCGATGCAAGTAAAAAAAAAAAAACAGAATATGTGATTTAGGGTTTTAAACATTACTCTAGATCAGAGGTGTCAAACTCAAGGCCCGCAGGCCGGATCCAGCCCACGGGGTGCTTAAATCTGTCCTGCCGGGCCAGCCTGGAAATATCAAAGGACCAGCCTGCGGTGCCTCTGCTGGCCAAAACCAGTCATGCGCCCACCCCCCGGACCATTTTCAGCCTGGAGAGTGCTGCAGGAGGCTGGGGAGGCCGAAAATGGGCCACGTAGGGGCCACGTGGGACCATGCGGTGCTTTCATGCAGCCCATTTTTGGCCAGGAGAGTGTTGCAGAAGGCCATGGAGGCCAAAAATGAGGCACGGGGAGGGGCGCACACACCCCTGCGCCCTGTTTTGGCCAGCAAAGTGCTACAGGAAGCCATTGAGGCCAAAAACAGGGTGGGGGGTTGTGTGCAGCCCCCATGCCCCATTTTGGCCAGCAGGGTGCTGCAGGAAGTGTCCATCCCATCTCCCTCCCACTACCTGCCCACCCTCTGGCCCATGGAGGAGAACTATAATGCTGATCCAGCTCTCGGAGAAATCCAGTTTGACACCCCTGGTCTAGATTATGGAAATAATATTATATAATATAATATTTAGAACAGGGGTGGGCAATTAATTTTCCCAAGGGCACACATGAATAGCTGGGATTGTTGTGGAGGGCTGAAACCCCCCCAACTCCCCTACCCCCACCAACACCGATGTCTTCCTGCTGATGCCCTGCTCCTATCATCTCCCCCACTGATGTCACACTGCCCCCACCTATACCGCTCAGCCACTGATTCCCTGCCCCCCCACAACACTGCTAATGCCAGACAGGAACATCCAAAATACCGGATGTGGCCCAAGGACTGTAAAATGTCCAGGTCTACTTTAAAGAGAGGTTAAAATATAATTGCACTTATAATTGTGAAAAATATCAGAAACGGCTGCTTTGTATCTTTTTTTTTCTTTTCTATTTTAACTTTTTTCATTGCTTTCTTTTTCTCTTTTCTTCATTACTTTGTATTAAAGTAATGAAGAAAAATTACCTTATTTTTTTTAAGTTTCAGTAAAAGTTACTGTATATTAAAAAACCAATACTTTGTACATACTTTAAAAATGCACTGCTGATAATTGGCACAACAGAGATATCACCACATTTCAAGAATCCTGCATCATTAATGAGCCATATTCTGCACTAGTTTAAATTTGCTTAACTAGTTTTGGAATTACTCCAGGTAGAGTTCATTACTGCCTAAATCGAACCTGAATATCACTAAAGCATAGGTATTTTTTAAACACCAACAATATTATCATATTATCACTTTGTCATTTTTAGTGGATTTGGTATTTGTAACTGTTTCTGTCTAGCTGTATTTATTACTTTAATTTGTGTTGCAAGCTGCCTTGGGGTATATATTATGAAAGACAGAATATAAATGTCTTCAATAAATAAATAAATCTTGGTTATACAGCAAGTTTAAATTTTCTTGAGGGCACAAGCACCTTTTTTTTTTAACTTCATTGGCAAAATGATTGCTAGACTGAAACTAATGTGCCACCTGGAATATCAGTGTCAAGAAGTTTAGAGGTTTAATTTGTGGGGGTTATGCTTAAATAGATTTAAGATTTCCAACATAACTAGAACTGTATATATTGGCTTGTCAATTGATGGGCATAATCATCCTACAAAGTTGTCAATAATAACTGCTACTGTATATACCTCTACCACTAGAGTTTAGGATTGCTGCCAAGTTATCATACTTAGGATTCTGGGCTTCTTGTTTAACTGCTTGAACATTGTTACAGCTTAAATTCCAATGTTTCTACTGCAAAGAACTGAAACAAAATTATATTTGTTATATTAGTACAGGTCATAGAATATGGCAAAAATTTAAATGAAGCTGGAAAATCAATTTCCAGGGAGGGGATGTAAATGAACCGAGTTCTAATTTGAATTTTGGATTTCATGAAGACATTCAATTTGAATTTGCAATTCAGTGTGAAGAGTTTATCCAAAGAATCAAGTCAAATCAAAGATTTGATCTGATAAGAGTATGTATGCATATTACAAAGTCCATCAGATAGTTGAATTAATTCAGAAGCACCTGACCTAATTCAAATGGGTAATTTGCTTGAATCACAGTCAAATACAAGAATCAGACTGAAGTATGACACATACAGTACCTTAATACATGTGTCAAGGTATATATTTCAGATTAGCATTAAAAAAATCATTTCCATCCCAGATTAGCATTATGATCTAATGTTCCCATTGTTCTTCTACAAGATTTAATTGAAAGCATAGCTTTTCTAATGTATTTGTTAGAAACAGTTATATATTGCCCTTCAGCCGAATGGCTCCCAGGAAAATTTCAAAGTAAAGTTAAAGCAACAATGAGTTCAGTGTAAATCACACACACGAGAAATATGTAGAAATCATAGAGCTGGCTTCTAGTGATAAATAATAGAGTTTTGTTTACATCAATACCTTGAGCTCTCCAATAGAAGACAAAAGACCTGCTCCATAAGCCCTCAGTTGTCCATCTTGCTTACAAAGGCCAAATTCAATAGTGAAGAAATAACACTGTAAAATGAAATACACAGACACACACATACATATATTAGAATAAATCTAGATACACTCAGAAATCAAACAGGTCACCAGGTCACCAGGTAAGCCCTTCCTCATGCTATTTTTTTAAAAATAAATGATGTGAAAGAAAACTACCAAATAGTAAACACCATGAATACCAGGGGTTATCATAAATCTATTTAATGTAAATCATGATAGGAATTAGGACTGTGCAGTGTTTCAGATTCAATGCCAAAAGGCTGTTGCAGGGTATGCACAGTGTAAAAATGATACTTGTCTTCCATTTTTAAAGCACTTGCATTTTTATTTTGAATCATGAGGCTACCTACTGCAGCCAATATCTAATTCCTAGAAAAGTCAGTTAGTCTAAAGCAGCAGTTCTCAACCTGGGGGTCGTGACCCCTTTGGGGGTCAAACGGCCATTTCACAGGGGTCACCAAAGCCCTCTCTCACCCCCCCACGCCTTCACTCACCCTCACCCTCACCCTCTGTTGGATCGCCGGTCGCCGGTCACTTACCCCACCCAATCCCAATCTATTGCTGATGGCTAGAGGGAAAAAAAACTGTTTAAATTCTTGCCGCGGGGTTTCAAAGGGCCACCCTATATCTGATCAGTGTTAAAAGAAAACAAATGAGTAGACCGGTGCCTACAAAAATAGAAAAAACAGCCCCTTTCAGCTTCAGCATAGGTTAATTACCATAAGTTGATTTGATCAGCCTCCTGACTCTCAGCTGATTTGCTCTCAGCTGTTTTGCGGAGGACTCTGTTGCTAGCTAGCTGCAAAGAGGTAAATTGCTGGAGCAGATTTTTTTTTCCCCTAGCTATGCTGAAAAAGCGAAACTGAAAGTAAAGCAGGGTCTTTGCTGCAATGTGACAAATGAGGCAGAGAGAGATTTCTTTTTCTTTTTCCTCATCAAAAAAGGTAGGTGCAAAACTGCAAACAATCGGAAATTTAGGGCAAAAGAGGAGATTCAAGATTTTAAAACACAAAAGAAAAAAAGCTCTATTTAACTAGGGAATTGTAATAATTGAGATACTATTAATTGTATATTGTGTTGAAAGCAGAAATGGTTAAGTTGTGGTTTGGAGGAATATATGGGGGAAATTATTTGGTTTATTATTATTGGTAAATATAATTAATTGATTTGTAAGAAATTGGATTGCATGGAAATAATTGGAATATTCATGTTCATATTGATTAATGTACAAAAAAGGTAGTTATATAACTAATTGATTTATATTAAAATGTTGAATTTGTATTAAACAACTGTATTACATAATTACATAATTAACCAATGTGAGGATGGATATAAAAATAGATGACAATGCGAAGGGGTATAATATAGAATAGAAGGGAAAAATTGAATTTGATTAAGATTAGAGATGAGGATGAAGGGTAATATTGGTTTTTTTAAAAAATAGATGAGGAATAAATATGGCAAAAATGAAATATAGAAATTGTAAATTTAATTGAAATGACTAAACCCTGTTTAAATTTGTGAACCGGCCAAATACTCTGTTCAAAGAAAATACATTGTATGTTTGTATGTGTGTTTCTAATTATTGCTATTTATTCATATTGGTTCTCTTTTATTCTTTAAAGTTTAACAATTCATTCTTTATCTTAATATCTTTATATTTGTTTGGGGTTGGCTTTCTTCCCTTTCATCTTTTTTATTGTACAGCAATCTTTCTCCTCAAACTTACCACCTCTCTCTTTTCTTTCCTTCTTACTTTCTCTTCCCCCCCTTCTTCTCCTCCCTACTTCCTCTTCCTTTCTCCTTCTCCTCCTCTCTTCCTCCCTCTCTTACCCTCACTCCTACTCTAATTTCCCTTCCCTTCCTTCATCCCTCTCTATTGCTGTATCCTTTTATGCATATGGACTACTCAGAGGACTGAAAAGGTTATTTTTGACTGGTCCTCACACTTTTGACCAGTCCTTGAACTTACGACTGTCCTCACATTTTACGTTTTTGCCCTATCTTGTCACCATGGTGAAGAGAAGCAATTGTGAAATGAGTGACACGGTTGTTAAGAATGCTACAATGGGCATAAATGATGACCAGTCATAAGTGCGAAGACCGGTCAAAACGTGCGAGGACCTGTCAGAAATCACTTTTTTCAGCCCTCTGGGTAGTCCTTTTGTGCACATGGACTATTCAGATGGCTGAAAAAGTTATTTTTGACTGGTCCTCGCACTTTTGACCAGTCCTCGAATTTACGACTGTCCTCACATTTTACGTTTTTTGCCCTATCTTATCACCATGGTGAAGAGAAGCAGTTGTGAAATGAGTGACATGGTTGTTAAGAATGCTGCATGGGCATAAATGTGAAGATAGTCATAAGTGTGAGGACCAGTCAAAAGTGCGAGGATCTGTCAGAAATGACTTTTTTCAGCCCTCTGAGTAGTCCCTATAGTATAGACATAGCCATGGCCACCCGGTCACATGACCAGCTAGCCACGCCCACCCAGTCACATGACCTCCAAGCCACGCCTACAAAATAAGCCATGCCCACAGAACCAGTAGTAAAAAAATTTAGAACCCACCCCTGTTTGGGGGTCACCACAACATGAGGAACTGTATTAAAGGGTCGCGGCATTAGGAAGGTTGAGAACCACTGGTCTAAAGTGTTGCAAGCAACTAGCGTGTTTTCATACCTGTGCTATCCAAAGTAGCTTTGGGGAATTATATCTGAAGAATTGCACAGCCCTAATAAAAATCACCATTGTTTACTAACAGATTTATTGTGAAATAAATAAAAGCAAGAACATATCTGTAAATCTGCTATCCAGATTTGCAGAATGCAAATGCTGGATGTGTTTTACTAGCACATTCAAAAATATTATCTTAAGGGGGGCCTTGGAAAAAAAATTCACAAGCAGAATGTGCACGTTATTAAAGGGTGAAAGTGTATATAGTACTTATGTAATAATTCTTCAAAACCTATAAAGAAGAATATATGTAGCTCTGGGTTGAAATGAGGGGACCTTCATGCTATTTGAGCTTGGCTGTTTTCTTGCAGATGATTTATTATCTAAATTAGGTAATATAATCAATGCCAGTAAGGAGTGGGGTTTGCTCTCAATTTATATTCTAGTGGCTTGCCCTGTCGATGTTAGTGGGGCTGGTCTTAGTGATTCTTTTGTTGGGCTTGTTTGACAGTTTTTTATTGGTTGCTTGAGTGTTGATTTGATGTTAATCTTGGAGTCTAATCTATGCTCATCTGGATGCTGATTGCTGGTGGAGAAGTGGTTAGGTCTTTTTGTTCCTTTTTAGGCTTGTTGATTGTCCGTTTTCCACAGTGTGTAGATCAGGGGTGAAATCCAACATTTTTCCCTACCGGTTCTGTGGGTGTAGCTTGGTGGGCATGGCAGGGAAGGATATTGCAAAATCTCCATTCCCACCCTACTCTGGGGCCAGCCAGAGGTGGTATTTGCCAGTTCTCCGAACTACTCAAAATTTCCGCTACCAGTTCTCCAGAACCTGTTAGAACCTGCTGGATTTCATCTCTGGTGTAGATGTTGTTTATGTCTATGTGTCTATTGATGACTAATTTGTCTGAGTGCCAGGTTTCTAGAAATTCCCTAGCATTTTTGGAGTTGGCTTGGTCTAGGATGGTCACAGTTTTCCAATTGAAACTATGTTTAAGTCTGTCTACATATTGTGAAATTAAAGAGTTTTTATCATGTCTTCTGACTGCTAGTTGGTGTTCATGGATGGATCCTGCCAATCTTCTGCCTGTTTGTCTTGGTTGTTGCAGTCATTAAACTGTATGTCAGTGTTATTCTTTTAAGGAATTGTGTTGGTTGTGCTAAATTAGGTTGAGTAGTCAGGCACTTTATGATAACGTTGCATGGATATCCATTTTGTTGGAATATTTTGAATATTCCAGATGACAGAACACATCCATAAACACCAATTAGCAGTCAGGAGACATGATGAAAATTCTTTAATTTCATAACACATGGACAGACTTGACTATAGTTTCAAATGGGAAGCTGTGATCATCCTAGACCAAGCCAAGTCCAAAACTGCTAGGGAATTTCATACACATAAACAATATCTATGGACTATGCAAAAGAGACAATTAGCAAGCCGAAAAGGAAACAAAAAGACCTAAGCACCTCCTCACCAGGAATCAGCACCCAGATGAGCATAGATTAACTCTAAGATTAACATCAGATCAATAATCAAGTAAAAAAGTATTCCAATCAAGAAATTGCCAAACAAGTCACAGAGAAAAACTCTGTTATAAGAAGTGGGGTTTTTTTTCTTTTTTAGTGCCTTTAACTTGGTCCTGACTCCTAGCAACTTTGTGAACAAGTTTCTGCAGATATCTTGGTAAACTTTTTAAAATGATTCAGTATTGCCTGCTTCCAAAGACTGGGAGAGAGAATAACTGGCCCAAAGTCACCCAGCTGTTTTGTGTCTGATTAGATCTCACCATTTCCCAGTTTCTAGCCTGGTACTGTAACCACTACACCAAACAGCTTACAATATAATATTATAATTGCCATAGTTCTGAAGCTGATTTGTTTATATAAACTTTAACTGAATTGAAGAGACTGTTCATCCCACCCCAAGGGATTTGCATTTGCACCAGACAGGTAAACTTTGGCCCTTATTTTCCCATAGATCACTTTAGCAGGGGCTTATTACCCTCACCCCCACTCTAATTTCAAAAATCAATTTCTCATGTACAGTTGGTAGTTGCTAACCTGATGACCTCTGGAAGGGTGGTCTGTTCAACAAAGCCCTTAGTGAATTACCTCCTTCAACCAGCTTCACAGTACAGTAAGTTTCTTCAGGCAAAGCAAATACCTGTAAGTTATACTGCTTTTTTGGGGGGGGGTCTATTCTTACTGCCTCATTTGACACTTTCAATAGCCAGAAGCAGAATCCTCTTTCAACATGTCCAGCCATCTTCTTTATGTGCAGAAATCTCTTTTGAATATTGGAAGCATTATTTGTTTATAAGATTTGTGTAT